TGTCAGGGGAGTCCAAAACAGGTACAGAATGTACAATAATTAATGTAATTTCAAAAAGGGAGAAAAAATATTTTAAATAAGGACTTAACACTCACAGAAAAGCAGAAATTCAAATGTTGTTTAGAGCTCCCATGGTTTAACTAAATTGGTGCTCCAAATATTGGATGAGGAAGCTATATTGGAGTTAACTATTGCTTTAAACAGTGGTAATAGATCCCCAAATTTTGGGTGTTAAAGTCGTTGTACAATTTTACAATAACATGACAATAACATAGTTTTCGATACAAACGTAATGAGTCAGAGATGCCTGTGTTAATATGGATATCTGTATGTCTATCTACACCGTCTGTTTTTCTGTTGAAAAAACATGTCTTTCTGCCTTTCTGTCTGTCTGGCTCTCTGTTTTTTGTCTTTACCAAAATATAAAACTTGATAGTTGTAAAACATGATTCTGAGATACTATTAACTTGTGTAGAACATCTGCCTATCTTTAATAGGGTATGTCTATCTGTTTGCTTTCCTTTCCTTATGCTATTCGTCCTATATTTATGAAAACTTCAACATATGGTCTGTGAATCATATTGAAAGTATTGGCCTAAAAACGAACAGATAATTTATTTATATGAATATGGATATTTTGATATTTTATATATTTTTTTTTTTTATTTTGATAAATAGTTCGGGTGTTTTGTTTGATAAGCCAAAAATGAAAGCCCTGTCATACCTACAGCCATGTGACCATAGGGTAAATGCCTCCTTTTATTTAATTCTGTTTCTCTCGTCAATAACAGTTACAGATGTTATTTAAATATGATCCCTCAGATGCATTAAAAAGCAAATTTATATGAAAATTGCAGAGCCGGTTTTGATTAGTCTGTATATGAGGGATAATGAAAAAGTGCAACATCCCTCATGTCCCCTAGCACCGGATTGAGCGGTACTAAATGCTCAACACTTAAAAGTGCTGGTCTCAAAGATCCGGTAAGACCAGAAAAATATAAACAACACTGAAGTGAACTACGGGGCAACCTTTTACGGCTGCCACAAATCACTTCACATTTGCTGTTGTGATGTATAAATATCTGGTAAATAATTGATCTCTCGGAAGCATTAAAACAGCAAATTTACTGAAAATTGCAGACTTGAGTCTGTGATCATGAAAGCTGTATTTGTGACGTTGAAAATACGTTTTTTGCTCTATAGTGCACCCCAAATTTTAAAGTATGCCATTTCTCTGAAGAGGACTTTTTGTGTAAAACTTTATTTCTTTATTTTCATATGAATGAATAGTATGATATTTAAGATCAGACAAATGCTTTTTTGTTAATCTCTTTTTTAATTCTTTTTTAGATGACTGGATGTTAAAGCCGAAATATATAAGAAAAGAGATTGTTATGATTACGATAAGAGGAGAAAAAACTGCAAGAGACCATCAATATTATAAAGAAGTACAGAAAAACAAGAAAAAAAAAGTGTTGAACGTATATTTTTTGAGATAAATAACTGTGTAATAGTGAAAAAAGAGGATCCCTAAAGAAAAGCCCACCACGGCAAGATTGTAAAATGTTGCAGGCTCGGTTTGATTGAGCCTGTTCATGGACGGTACTGGAAATTGCAAGTTAGTTGCATAAACCTCGTGGCGATGTTGTCAGTAAAGTTGAAACCTTCGAATTTCAAATTCAAATATTTAAATCAAGTCTTTGTGTAAAACAAGACACTTTAAGCGTGAAGTTAGGACCTAGGAAGAATCGAAGGCGTAAATGGCCTCCTGACAGCTAAACTACGTGACCACCATTGTTGTAACAGTAACAGTTGAACATTTCAAAGACGTCCTTTTCATGAAAAGTGCAAACACACAACTTGCAAATCTAGTGAAAAAGACCATCGAAAACAGCAGGAGAAGGCTTTTTAACAACTATGCAATACTTTGAAAGTTATTAAAAGGACAACATTTTTTTTTAAATGTGACTAGGTGTAGTCGAACTAATGAGCATTATGAGAGACATGGAGATGTGGAGATCACTCTAATATCTCTTTATATAATAAAGAAGAAAACATAAATAGGTTAAACAAGATGTGATGGCATTCAGAGGTGAAATATTTTTTAAAGCCAGCTATATAAAATGACATAAAATTGACATTTTGTATATATAAAATTCTAATTTTGAACCATTACTATAGACATTACTACAGCTCATTTTCAGCATTATAAACAAAGATTTATTCTTAACATACTTAAGTGTTTTGCAATATAGATAATTGGACAATACTGGCAATGATAAATGAGTTTATTTCTACGAAATCATGTTAAAATTGATAGTTTGTATAACATTTATGGAAATGATATTTTGATTGATGAGACTTTGGTAACGTACAAATATGTTAAATGACACAGCAAAAGTCTATATCACGTGTTACTTTCAGAAATTGAGTATATTACCAGGTGCAGTGTTTATTCCTACGGATTTTAGGAAAAATAAATGAGTTTGTTCTCTTTATTTTCATAAATCTTTCAAACATATTTAAAAATTGCTAGAATAATGTCAATGTAATTGATGTAACGTATGTAACATTTTGCTTTTCAAATGTCTTAAGGGATTAAGTTTCTTTATTTATATAAGCGTATGTGATATAAATACTATTTGAACCTCTTTTCAAATATTAGGTATTTTTAAGATAATGCATTTTGAACGTTTTGCATTATAATTATAAGTGGGTGGGGTAATAATCTTGTGTGTCACAAGTGAATAAATAATAAAAAAGGCCAAACCTGTTATTGTTCATTGCAAATTCTATTTTTATGAACACCAAATACATGCTGTCTAAAAAACTACCAATCTATAACACAGAAAGACAAGACAATCGCCACATATTAAACATATAACGATATAATATTACGATTTTATGCCTGGACAGGAACTCTTAAACTACCTGCCATATGTCAAGTTTCCGAAGGTATATTTTTTAGGGTTTTACTACAAGGTCCATGCATATACATTAATTTCAAAATACTAACGAAAGCTTGTGTTGCAATTTGTTTGATGTCAGGCTACATATACTCATAATTTTAGAGGCCTAAATGAACTTATGAATGAAAGCTCAACGAATATTTTTTTCTCTACTTTCTTCATTGAGACAATCAAATAATAACAGACATCACAAAACATGTAAACATTCGAAAAAAGTAACAATACAGACATGAAAAACACGTGAAGGAACATAGAGGGTTACCGCCTTGGAATGGTCAGTGGTAGTTAAACCACTGGGTATTTTAAACCGGTTATGTTATTCCAGAAATTTGCAAACAATACTTTAACGCTTAACTGGTATAGGCAAACCTCAGGTGACCTTCCGTGCAATATTTAAAGCACAAAAGGCACCCAAGTAGAACCACCAACAAAACCGTTACAAAAGGGGTAGCAGATAAACTTTCTTACACGAAAGAATCTAAGTTCATTTGGGCGGAATTCGAACGCACACAGGCAATAATGGTATCGTGCATGAATTTTTAATTTTTAAAGCTTCCATTGTCAGAGTCACAAGTTTACAACATAATACGAGTGTATTTAATATTTAAGTCCCCCTATTTAATGACTAAAAACACGAAATTGCCCCCGCTATTCCCCCCAACCACAATTAGTGCAACACTACCCAATATTTTTGGGCCCAAATATAATTAAGAATTTCCATCCCAAATTGTAAAACATTACCAAATTTCTTTACCCCTTTTAAGGGGTTGTTTATTTTTAGAACGTCTTTTCAAACTGCCAAACGAAAATTCCGCTTCAGTCTATACTCAGTAACTTCGCCCTTATTCCTCCCTAGAAGAGTTAATGTCTAATTTGAATACATACAGCTGCTACCTTTCCTTTCGGTCATTCCTTACAGTTTCTGGTTTAGTCTGCCTAAAATTATTCGAAATATGCCCAATGTTATTATTTATAAACATATGCTATACTGCGATTATCATCTTAACTTTTCTATCTGAAAAATATTTCATTTAATAAAGTGATTTGGTCATTAATGGTATTCATGTAGTTCAATACATGTACACAATGAATTATGTTGATACAATAGTATTATATGTGACAACAAACCACTAAAAATATATGGTCCGGTATGACAATCAATTTTTAAAAGATAATAAAGTGTTCTAGAACAGAACATTACAATGCATCACATATATGTTTATACTTAAGCACTTTTAAATTAGAACCACCTCTATCTACATGTTTTTTTCCAGAAATATGCTATAAGATTATTCCAATGGTACACGAAAGAATTATACAACTAATAATAGTTTTCCTTCTAAAATTGCCTCTATTATGGACAGTAATGTGTGTGATACATGACAAAAGTCAATGAAATACATCAATTTTATGTGCGGTTTTTACAAAATTATGCATGGTTTGAGTTCATATAATAATGCCACCCTCACACCTACAAGGTCTAAGTGATTACTTATTACAAGTCGGGTGTTGGATATGAAACAATTTATCATTCGTTCATAACAACATATGACGTGTATTTATGTATAACATCGTGTAATAAGTGCACTCGTCTGCACAGTATCTTTTAAGTTAGCGTATTAAATGATTTGAGGTGAATCTGTAGGTATGAAGCATCTACGAGACATCACAAGCACTATATCTTTATATATTATATTGTTTTGAACATAATTATAAAATATTTATGCATAATTACGCACAAGTATTATTTTGTTTTAATATAACACAAATCGCATATGCAATGATAGAAGATCAATATCAACAATTAAGTTATTAATATCAACATAATTAAGAAGGGTATTACAAAAAAAAATTATATTTACATACACAAACATGATACATGTTTTTGTATTCATATATTATAATAAGATATCAATATTTACATAATCAAACAGAATATTCATGTTTACACATTCAAACAGCAATATTATAATTTCATGCAAATAGCATTATTCAAAAATGATATTTGTATTTACAAAATAAACAGGGTTTTTATATTTACATATTAAAATCAAAATATTTATGTCATTATTTTCGAACAGGATGTCTATATTTGCATCACAAAATAGGATATTTATATATTCAAACAGGGCATGTTTTATCTTAACATCTAAAATATATATATTCAATATTTTATATAAACAGATTATTTAGGTGATTTATATTTCCATTCTGAAACAGGATATTTATTACTACGTATTCACACAAGATATTAATCTTACATATTTTATTTTTACATATTTTTATTAATTAAGATATACTAAAGCTTGTAATTGTTGTTTAAATAAATATAGCATGGATTATCGAATGTGTTGGAAACAAACAATACATGATACGAACAAATAGAATTTCAAATTGGATTATTGATAAAAACGGAACCGACCGTTGCTGCAGCTTGAAAGGGTGTAAAACAAATGTTCAGTACCGATGAAATATATATATATGGTGTTGCTTAAATATCTGAAGTAGTAACCTTAATACAAGTAACATTCCTATGCAACCAGGCACAAACTATATAAGCGGGTAATGTACGCAAAGCATTGATGTTGTTTTGAGAATATATGAGACATGTTACTTTGCATAAAACATGACATTTTCAGTGTTTTATTTCAATTTTGTAGCAATAAATATTAATGAAGGATGTACTCATTTTCGTGTCTTGATTTATTTGATCTTTTTCTTCCAACGTGTAGCATGTCGAGTACTGATTATATGCAAGCACCTCGTCAGGTTGACGTCATTTGTGTGTTCCTCTCTTCATACGATTGTACACTATGTTGGTCTTTTTGTCCGCAAGTGCCGCAAGTGAACAAGAACAGTTTGCGATTGAATAACATGAATATTACAGGATTGCAGGCACTGTTCAGTGGGTATAGACAGTTGAATAAAAGAGAAAACTTCGCTCCCACCGTACCTGGGTGAAATATGCGCATCAACATTACTACAAAATAAGGCGTCCAGCAAAAGAAAAAGGCTGAAAGATAAAACAAATAAGAGTTAATTAATACATATATGCGATACAATATTCAGGCACCATGCTTCATGTTTATTATTGATTATCTGTTTTGTTTTGATCTCATTTATACTTTTCAGTTGATTTATATAATTTAACTGCATATATAAACTCCGACATTCCTTTTAAATGATAATAAGATTTATTATTTTGATAAGAACTAACAAAAATCATGTTAGCACCATTAGTTTAAACACATTTAATTAGCAAATGTTCAAGCATGTATCATTTCACATCACAATATTAATATCAGTTTCACTTTTAAATAATCAAAAATGGTAATTAACTTTTAAATAAAGTAAATTAAGCTTATGTATAATGTACTGTAATACATGTAGGTATCGGTGCAAGTTTCAAAGAAAACTTAAGTTTTAACTTTGATCAATTTAGGTTTATGACAGTTTCTGATAAAAAAAAAATGCAGTGTTTAATGAAGTTGACGCTTGGTTAATTTTGCAATACAATATTGTACATACCCAAACATACGACCATTGTCATTTTGATGCTCTTTATCTTTGCCTTCGGATGAACTCCTTGGTTTGATGAATTGCCACCCTGAAGTCGGTCTGTAATGATATGTTATATTAGAATATTAATACATGTAATTGTCGAGATAACCTAATTGTAACAAATCTTGACTTTAAGTTAACAGCTAAAGAAATATTTGTTATGAAGTAGAGGCTCATTCCTGTTAAGCTAATAATTTTGTAAATTCCTGAGTGTTTTTGATAAAAATTGTAACTAAATTCGAAATGAAAATGATGTCGTAGTTATATTCTTTTTTATTTTTGGTTTAAGATAAAAAAGAGAAAATAAGAATCCCTGAAGAAAGTTCAACACAACATAATTGAAAATGTTGCAGACTCGGTTTGATTGAGCCTGTTCATGGACGGTACTGTAAAGTGCAAACAACCGTCCACGCCCCCTAGCACCGGCTTAAGCAGAATTCAACATTTAAACATGAAATGGTAAAATTTTGAATTTATAACATCCGCAGATGTGTTCATACGGCGGTTATCATGGAACCTTCAACGTGACACTTCCGTGCCATTCAATGAAAAGCGGCGTATGGTCCCCAAGTAATATAATTCATTGTCAATTGCCCTTAAAATATCAAGTAAATAATTTTTAACTTATCGAAGAACAATGATACTTTATCAGTCTTACCTCTGCTTGCATCGGTGTTTATCTCTGATAATTTCACCCTTGAACGCCATTTCATCCAAACTATGATACATATACCCACATAACACACTGTTATCCCGATTGTTGGTAACACATAGATTATTACTGCAACTGTTAGACTATACGGCTGTATAAAATGAAATCAAGTGAAAAGCAAATATAAGTTATTTGTTTTCTGCAACAAACCTTCGACAAGAAAACGACAAACAATATTTTATTGTAAATAATCAGACTGATATATCCTCTAAGCTTGTTTTTTTTTATAAAATCAAGTACTTATTTAAATGTGTAGAATGTTACCTATATCATTCACAATGATACCAAAATATTTGTTATATCTTGTGATACATTGTATACCAGGCATTATTCAAATCAGATGCATGCACATTCATATTCTTCTGTCATTTATATTATATTTAATTTGTTATACTTTTCAATATAATAATCTAACGCTTATTTTCAATACTGCCAACCGCTGTATTACCTTCCGCCAGTAATCTGGAAGTTTGATATCACAGCCACCTTTTTGTTCATCAATATCAGCTCTATTTGGATTTGCATTTACTCCCCGACTGTAGATGATGAAAAAACATGAGACCACTATACTGATAAGCCATGCCCCTGCGACCAAACCTTTGTCTAAATACCTATAAATACCTGCAAAGATAGATAGATCGTTATAATAATATTTTCTAATTTACGCTAGAATACATTTTGAAATGAATGACCAATTTTACTATAAAGAGTATATGAGCCGCGTCATGACAAAACCAACATAGTGCGTTTGCGACCAGCATGGATCCAGACCAGCCTGCGCATCCGCGCAGTCTGATCAGGATCCATGCTGTTCGCTTACCAACTCTATTTCAAGTAGAGAAACTGATAGCGAACAGCATGGATCCTGATCAGACTGCGCGGATGCGCAGGCTGGTCTGGATTCATGCTGGTCGCAAACGCACTATGTTGGTTTTGTCGTGATACGGCTCATATATCTATTATTATAAGAATGTCTGTTTTCTATAATTATTTATTACATCGAATAACATGACTATGCATTTTCCGAAAAATTACGTAGACCATGCAAAAACAATCATTACAAAATTGTCTCAATATATTGTCCCGAAACATTTTGTTCTGTTTTCAAAATAAAAGCGATTCATTGGTGGGATTAGAATTTCTCCTTATACGTGTAACAGACTTTTTTGATATTAGTTTATAAATTACAATTTACATATGATATTTCAAAATATGATAAACAAGATCAACAAGGAAAGGCGGCGTTCAACGAACGCAACCCCAACATGACCAAGCAAGGAACTCGGGCGGCCCTAAACAAAACCAGGACAAGACACAAGGCAGAGCACGAGAGGCTAATCACTGAAATGATAAATAATTTGTAACTGACAAGGAACTCAAAGAAAACAAACAATTGATCGACTAATAAAGTATAATTTGTACCTGATAAGGAATTCAAAGAAAACAAATAAATGATTGAAAAACAGGCCCACAAAGTCAAAGGGGAAGGGGATAGAATACCTTGAGAACGTGGGGGGTAAATCACAAAAAAAATAAGACTAGGGGCAAAGGGGGGAAGATACTTACCGTAGACGAAAAAACAACAAGAGACACAAGCAAAAGTTTCACAAAAACAGTATGAATCAACATAGACATACATCGGGGGAACACAGAGAGACACCGCCTTGGAACGGTCAGTTTACATCTTTTATCATTTTATATGACAAATAATTGTTATTCAAAAGACATGCATTTGTGGATACACGCTATGATGTTTTTAAAGAAATACGGAAATAACAATACCTATTCTAAGAACAGTCAATGGATATTTTATTGCCAGAAACCTGTCTACACTCATGCTGATCAGAAGATTATTAGATGCAATCACAGTCGTTGTTGACATAAAACGTGTAAGTCTACACATAAAGTGTAAAGATGTTTTGTCCAGTAATATTAGTGATTTGATTGATAATGCGTTTTGTACATCGGTTTGTTTGCTTCCTGGTACACAATGACAGCAATGCATACAAAAGTTGTCAAAAGGTGAGCGCTTGCTCGAATATTTAACTTTAAGCAGAAAAGAATGAAATATTTACTTTAAAGTTAATACAGATAAATATATTGCAGCAGCTTTATTTATAATTAGGAAAACCCTTGTTCGACAATCCATAAATTAGTTTAAAAGAACTGCTGTTTGTACTAAAAAAGCAAAGTATTATTTCCAAGAGTGTTATACTTCACTATTGCTATTTGTGTATTTTAATGCATGAATGTTTAACTATTTTATTTATTCAATGAACTAGGTGCGTTTTAGACTACATTAATTTCAATAAATGAAACAATCTATTGATTGAATGAAATAAATCATGATATGTCCAAATGTCATTTGAACTAGTGACACATAATTGGGCTTTATAATAGTCACTGCAATCAACCTATTGTTTAAGTCTGTTCCATCAAGTCACGCTACATTACATCAGAATGGTCAGTTTAACATTTCATCATCTTTTAATTGTTAAATGATACGTTGAACATGTCTGAAATGCATGAAATATATTTGATCCTAAGATATAAGTTTTGTTGTCAGTCACAAGATTGAATAAACATGCTTTAATCTATATTTCTTAGCCAAAAAGATATTGTAGCAGAACTTTTCAACCTAATTACTATTCTACTTTCAAGATTACAAGACATATTTTAAAGGTAATCATTAGATAATGAAGATTAATCATAACGTTTAGTTAAGGGTACGGAACATTTTTATTATACAATAACATGTTTCAGCAATAGCAATGCAAAACCGATATTTGGAAATAGTAGGAACAATACCAGGCATTATTATCCAGCAGTGTATCCAGCATCCTATGGTCAAGAAATGGAACATCAATAGGGGATAGGCCGAGGCCAAGTTGACAATCATAAAGTTTTAAGAATAACATCTTGGAACATTGATGGTGTAAAACATAAATTTTTATATCAGGATATCATAGACTATTTTAGAACAATTAGCGTTATATGTTTATAAAAAAACTGGAAATTCTTTTTTGATGATTATGTTTATATACTGACTGACTATATTTGTGATTAAAATAATGCCTTTTTAAGAATACCACTCAAGGAAGAGGTATGGCAGGTATCGCTGTCTACATACATAAATCTATCAATGGTTATATATCACGATTACAGTCAAATTGTAAATTTTGTATTTTGTTGAGAATATGTAAGCGATTGTTTAATGCAAAAAGAGATATTATTTAATGCATCGTATATGTACGCCCGGAAAATTCTCCGTCATATATGTATGAATCATTTAAAGGTTTAGAAATGTAAGAACATTATCTATTTGAACTCGATGTAAATTTTTCCGAGGTTGATTTTATCATACTAGGCGATTTAAATGCACTAACTAGTAACCATAAAGATTATATTGAAAATACTTCAAACATCCCCATATCATCGGACTATGATGACATTTTGTCAAATTCATTACCGCCACAGCAATCGTGTGATTCGGTCTCTAATAGGTTTGACGTTCAGCTATTAGATTTTTGTAAAAAAATATTTCTTATATTTAACAAATGGAGGCTGTGGTCAAGATTGTGAAATACGTCATGCAACATTCATTAGCAGTAATGACAGCAGCGTAATCGACTATTTAGTTGCATCAGAATCTGTACCTTATATCAGATTGTAAAGTTGGGGACAGAACTGATTCGAGCCATTTACTCTTTCTGGTACTGTTGTGTTCACAAATTTCCTGAAATAATAATACAACAATGTAATAAAGAACGTGTCGTTTATAATTTCAGTAGCAGATCTGAGACAAACTTTAACTTACACTTTAAATAATGCAAAGTAACATGACATGGTTTGTTATATTACAGATTTTTCAAATGATATAGATTCTGTACTAGATTCCATAATGATTATTTTTAACAGCTCTAAAGTCTGCGTAACTGAAACAAAACGGTCTGTCCTTGAGGACCAACCTAAATGGTTTGATAGCGAATGTTTTAAACTGAAATAGAGTAAATACTATCATTTGCGTCGCTATCGAGAATGTAGATCGAATTCTTACTTTGAGCATAACATCCAAATTAAAAAAAAAACAATTTAAAAATCTTTGTGAAGATAAGAAGAAACATTTTTTTTAATAACAAGCTCGATGATTTAGTAAAAGTTTCAAAATAACCCTAGATCGTTTTGGAAAAAAGTATTTTTTGTCTCCACCTTCGAATAGTAACCGTTAGTGCAGTATTCCTTAAGAATCTTGGAAAGATCATTTTGAGAAATCATTTCAAGGCCTAGTTGATGAAGACGCAGAAAAATTGATTTAGTTGATGGAAATTTAACCGAAATTGAAAGTGAGATTTTTTATCTCAGAAATCACAGAAGAAGAAATATTAATGAGCAGTCGTGCATTGAAATCTGTAAAGGCGCTGGGACTTGATGATTTCAAACCAAATTACTTTAAATACACATTTGATTTTATTATACCATTAATAGTTACTTTATTTAACAGATTATTTGCTAAAGGGGAATTTCCAGATTCACACCAGTGCACAAAAAGGATAATCGCAATGATCCAGCGAATTATCGCGGAATCTCAGCTCCTTGCTTAACATTTTTAGTAAGATATACACATCCATTTTAAATAGACGTCTATCTTTTTATGCCAATGTTTTTAATAAAATAGACGAATCCCAATCTGGATTTAGAGCTGGTTATAGTACCACTAATAATGCATTTGTTCTGCAATCACTTATTTCTAAGGCTCTTTCAAAGAAAAGGGCACATTATACGTTGCATTCGTTGATTTCATTCTGTCAATCGAAATAAGCTTTGGCATATAATTTACAATGCTAATATAAGGGGAAATCTTTTAAATTCTATTATTGATATGTATAACAATGTAAAAGCATGTGTATGTTCTAACGGTCATATTTTCAGATTATTTTAATTGCCCGATGGGCCTCAAGCTAGGGATGTCTGGCTTCGCTAAATGGTCCTCATTTTTCATAAATGAAATATCAGTTATGATGAACAATAACGATAACATTAAAGTAATACAGATAATGCAAAATGAAACTTCAATATGGCTGCTTATGTTTGCGGATGACGTAGCCGTGATTGCCCAAAATGTTAGTGATACACAATATCAACTTAATGTATTAGATACGCTTTGCAAGTCTAGTTGTTTGCAGATAAATATATCAAAGACGAAAGTCATGTTTTTTTTTTAAAAATGGCAGTCGATTTAGCACAAAATGAATGTTTTTACTATAACAATCAGCAACTCGAAGTAGTTAATTCTTTGAAATATGTTGAAGTAACGTAAATACCACTATGTCGTTAAATATTATGAGCAATTAGTCCGATTAAAGTAAAATTTAACGTCAAACAAATTGCAACAAAAGCTTTTTTACATTTTAGTCTGTTATACACATCATATAAAACAGGTAAAAACCCTAAAAAATCTAACCTTTGCAAACCACTAAAAACGCAATTCAATTTTTGCATTTGTTTTGAGTTTTTATATGGCTCTGCATGTGCACTATACACAGAGTTTCATAATGTAACCGGTGTCGACGTAAACAAAAGTTATGAGGCCTCGCGATTTAAATTAATCAATATTAACACATTTATTACATGGAGTTGGATTTAGAAGCTGTTGTGCGAAGGATGTATACATTTTTTCATATTATAGTTACTTGTTTTTACAACTTTTAGCCTCGAACATCAGCGTTTGTCGTTTAAAACATGAAAGATTTTTCAAGTTTCATGGGATATAAATAATCATAAGCCTATATATTAACATTCCTTTTGGTAATAAGATGTTGATGAAGTATGAAAAATAAAAATAAACAATTTCAAGTATGTGGGTAGCTTCAAAAGGAAACTACGGAAGCGTGTTTTGGTAAACAATGCACGAAATCTAGAATAAATTGTTAGTAATTTTAGAATCATAACTGCATTATATTTTTAAACAGATTATTAGTTTTTGGTATAAAATGTCATTGTGTATGATACATACTAAGTTTTCATTTTAATAACCTTTGGAAGATAAGAATTTAAAGGTAATACTGAGCGTGATATATTATCTTTTTTACATACTAGTAGTATATGAGTTGTCAGGGGAGTCCAAAACAGGTACAGAATGTACAATAATTATGTAATTTCAAAAAAGGGAGAAAAAATATTTTACACTCACAGAAAGCAGTTCAAATTGTTGTTGAGCTCCATGGTTTAACTAAATTGTGCTCCAAATATTGATGAGGAGCTATATTGGAGTTAACTATTGCTTTAACAGTGGTAATAGATCCCCATTTTTGGGTGTTAAATTCGTTGTACAATTTTACAATAACATGACAATAACATAGTTTCGATACAAACGTAATGAGTCAGAGATGCCTGTGTTAATATGGATATCTGTATGTCTATCTACACCGTCTGTTTTTCTGTTGAAAAACATGTCTTTCTGCCTTTCTGTCTGTCTGGCTCTCTGTTTTTTGTCTTTACCAAAATATAAAACTTGATAGTTGTAAAACATGATTCTGAGATACTATTAACTTGTGTAGAACATCTGCCTATCTTTAATAGGGTATGTCTATCTGTTTGCTTTCCTTTCCTTATGCTATTCGTCCTATATTTATGAAAACTTCAACATATGGTCTGTGAATCATATTGAAAGTATTGGCCTAAACGAACAGATAATTTATTTATATGAATATGGATATTTTGATATTTTATATTTGTTTTTTTTTTATTTTGATAAATAGTTCGGGTGTTTTGTTTGATAAGCCAAAAATGAAAGCCCTGTCATACCTACAGCCATGTGACCATAGGGTAAATGCCTCCTTTTATTTAATTCTGTTTCTCTCGTCAATAACAGTTACAGATGTTATTTAAATATGATCCCTCAG